CTGATCTTCTGCCATGTCTCAACCACACTGGACCGACAAACTGCATTCAGAACCCTCTTGGACCTGAAGCTCTAGAACATGAGGCAGATGTTAGTATGTGTCTGCATAAGGTTTTGGCCAACTTTAATTCTGAGTGTCTAATATGCAACCGTGTGTTTTAAAAAGTAAATTAATTATAGGTTGATCGAGAGATTATTCTGCACGCAACCAGAACTTTACACACTAGATCAATGCAACTAAACGTCAATAGTAAAAGTTGTAGGGTGTTGCAGTTTTAGACCATATTTGTAGTATCAAGTGTTTAAAATGCACAATTGTTTTATAGTATTCCTCTAATATGCACAACAACTTAAAGTCTGCAGGCAATATATTAAAATGTTCTAAGAACAAACTGCTTACTGGTAAACATTCAATGCATCACATGTCTGCAAATAATCATCAGACATATTTAGGTCATGTTTACACATACATACAGCCAGACTGTAAACACGAAATGAAACCACGCAAGCACCTAATTCTCCCACGCCTAAACGCTCAAGATATTTTCCCCATTTCGAAAATACAGCCACTCATGAAACTGTTGTCAGGTCAATCGGATAGCGACCATGCCCAAATACTGCAGGGCTGTTTTTCCTGCCCCAGTCCAGACATTTCCTCATTTTCAGCACACACGCGCCCAATGAAGATCTCAACATAAGAAACTGATGCTTTCAGCCGGTGTATGCATGATACCAGGATCAAATCAGATCACTTATAATCACTTTAATGCATTATTTAATTTAATATACGAATAGCATATTTGATACATGCACAGGTTTGGTTGATTACACACGTGTATCTCTTTGTGGGCGTATTGAAAGGCCATCCAACCAGCAACTAGACGAAGCCATTGGTTATTTATGACCAAAAGCTCATTTTAGCGCAAGTTAACCATATTCTCAAACGCAAATGCTTACTGATCACTAGAAATAAACCTCACAGCAGCCTGGTTTAAATGAGCATGACATAGCAGCTAATAGGCTAACATGAGTTCGAACTAGCCGAAGAGACGTCGACTAAACGAAACCGACATAAATGATCACTTCCTTACAGTAATTCATAATTAAATGATATTATTTGTTTAAAAAAAAACTTTGGGTTTTAGTATATGTATGCACAAGCTAGCTATCGTTAATATCATACCACCAATGACTCTTGCTATAGAACTAGCTAGCCACACTTGTACGCTTCGAAAACCTTCGATTATTACGTTAAAATACCTGGCCTTTCTAATAAAATATACCTATTATCATTGTACAAAGTTTACCTAGTGCAATATCTCATTCAAATACAAAATAATGGTACCGTTTATTTTATAAACGAAAAAGAAACTACCTGAGACAAATATAGAGCAAAAATCCCCTTTCGGCTTATTTTGTGATTGGACGACTGTGTTATGTCTGCCTGACTACAAAGCAAAGCTCGACGCTAATTGGCTGGTCTGAGTCATCCTACTTGGATACAGAATGAAAAGACGATTTGATTGGTTAATGGTTTTACGCAAGGAAAAAAAAGAGAATAATTTTAATATTCTGTCAGGCAACTATAATTTTTGTGTACATTTTCATGAAACATAAACAACTGTTATTGGCCTAACAATGATGAGTATTTTCTTAAAATGTAGAAATGTCATACTATGGTTTTGTATGGTGGAATTAATACATCAATTGGCAATAATAAATACTACTGTAGTAATATTTAATATTCATTGCCCAAGTGTTTACCTGGCATTTACTTTTATGTACTGAAACAGTTAGCAAGAACACCTACTTTATGAACATAGCTGTGATTCATTAATACAGGCCACACTTTAATGTCAAGCTCAACTCAAAGAGCTTTTTACACTCCTTTGATTTATTTCACTCCAATTATTGTTTGTCGTTTACCAAAACAAATGATACATTTCAGTAATATGGTGGCATATATTTTTTGGTAAATATCACTGAGAAATTGAGAGCGATGTATTTATGCTTTCATATTCCCCCAAAAGCAATTCTAAAAATCCTTAATATATCCCTCCTAATAACTTCTGGATAGGAAAACCTTTATATCTATAAAAGTGCCAATAAAACCATTATTATCTGTATTTCAGAAAGACTTATTGAATTATTATAAATCCTTAATATAAATCTCTAAAACATATTAAAATAACTCTATTCAATTAAAAAATGCAATTTAGTAGCATACCCTGACTGTCATTTATTTTAATTTATTATTTTCTTTTCATTTGTCTTTGTTATTTATTTAGAACGTGTGCCCTGCCAATCGAGACTTTTATTTTGACATCTACGTCGCTTGGCTCTAAAGGAAAAGGAAGTAGCGCATGTTACCCTTGTGGATGTAGAATTTATGATTACCGCAAAATAAATTCGGTTATTTTAGTTAAATGTGCATCTTAAAGCCGCAGCAATAATTCAGGTAAGTAGTATATCACTGTATTATGTGGGGCCGCTACAAAAACCCTACACATAATCCCGAAACACTGGTCACAAAGCACAAGAAAGAGACTGCTGTAAGTGAAGATTCCGCTGTAGCGTTACAAACTGTCATTGGAGAATATGCCACCTAAAATATGTTGTATTTTTTTCTACGTAGAAATTCACAAAATATAGGTCATTCAAATGTAGATTTCAGACATAACTGTGAATTGTCTGCGTTTTTTAACTGGTTCTTTGTTTTGATCATCCACAGCAGCATGAGACTGACAGCGTTGCTTTCTATGGCAGCAAAAGCTGCATTTCCACATGATTATCGTTATGGGACAAACAGACCGTGGACGATCGCAGCCCAGCGGCTCAATCCACCCGGCAAGAAAAGAAGAAAGGTGTTTGTTGAACCTATTGCAAATGAGGACTGGCATGTGCTGAGAGGTGACACAGTAAGTGATCCTTTATGTCTTTTATATCTTGAAAGCTTTTAATGCTTAGTGAAGGTATTTTTTCCCCCACCTGACTGCTTGCAGATCAGAGGCACCTTTTAGTCCACTGAAATGTAAATAGTACTGATATTGTTTAAACCAGGGGTTTTCAATCTGGGGTCCGGGGACCCATAAGTGGTTGTGAGGGAGTGCTAGTGGGACCGTGGAAAAGTTTACAGAAAATCAGTGTTGAAAAAAATGTATAAAATAAATAATTAAGATGGGATTAAAGAAAATAAAAACTTTTTAAAAATAAATACATACAAAATTGATTAAAAGGGGTAAAAAATGCAAATAAATAATACATTTAACAGTTCAGTAGTCATTTTTCACATTATAACTTGCCTTAATAGGAAAAAATATATGTTTGTCTTTTTTATATTTGTATTATTTCACAATGCATATCTATATAACATACCATAATTCAAACCAGGTGGAGATTTTGTCTGGAAAGGACAAAGGAAAGCAGGGCAAAGTTGCTCAGGTGTTTCGGCGTCGATCCTGGGTCATACTCGAGGGCCTCAACACGGTAGGAGTAAAACTTACCTAAAACTAGTACGATTCTTACAGTTATAATTTCATTGCAAAACAGCACTTTTAATTGTTTCAAACACTTTCTTCCAGCATTACAGGTATATTGGCAGATCTGGAGATTACCGGGGTACTTACATCGCCAGTGAAGCTCCTCTGATGCTGAAGGATGTTACATTAATTGACCCTACTGACAGGTGAGCATCAAACATGAAATAGAGTAATAAATATAGTAGAACGCAATGTACCCAGCTCTTAATGTATGTATCTGTGTCTAATGTTTCTCAGGAAGCCCACAGATATCGAGTGGAGATACACTGAAGAGGGCGAGCGCGTACGTGTTTCTGTCAGGACAGGACGGATTATTCCCAAACCAGTCTATCAGAGAAGAGATGGCATCATACCCCAGCAGTGGAAAGGTGAGGTTTCCAAAAGTTTAAAAACAATGCATTTTTACCTAGAGTATTAGACATTCAGATATTTAAATATGGCTCAGTTATCAGAAACCTGAGAGTGTTTATGTACCTTGCAGATGGACCCAAAGACACATCACCAGAAGACACGCTTCAGAAAACATTCACGCCATCTTTGAAAACCCTAGAGGAAGAAGTTATGGAGAAAATGAACATTCAGGAAGATAGAAGGCCTCGTAAAAGCTACTGGTACTGAGTTACCACAGAGACGGTGTATTATGTTTCAGCATGACAACATTAGCAAGATTATTTATCATTGAGAAAAATTGTATGTGTTCTGCAGACTTTATTAATAAACCCAACCAAATGTTATACTCAGTTTCCTTGCTTTTATGCCACAAAACACATGCTACCAGCTGAAACGCATGGCTTATTTTCTGTACAAATGTACATCACCATTCAAAAGGTTAGGCTCAGTAAGATTTTTCTTTAAGGAAATTAATACTTTCATTCAGCAAGGATGTGTTAAATTTATTTAAAAAAAAGACATTTGTAATGTCACAAATTATTTCCATTTCAAATAAATGCTGTTTATTTGAACTCTCTATTCATCAAAGAATCCTGAAGAAATGAATGACGGTTTCCACACCAATATGAAGCAGCACAACTGTTTTCAACAATCATATGAAATATTTCTTGAGCAGCAAATCAGCATATCAGATCATGTGAGTAATGATGCTGAAAACATCTATTTAAAAAAATATTTTACAATATCACTGTATTTCTGATCAAATGAATGTAGCCTTGGTGAGCATAAGAGCATACGTCTGTTTATCTGTCCATCTGTCTTAACAATTCCCAATGTCTTTATGGTGAAATATCATAAAAATACATTATGTAGGATAGGGGTTAGATATAGAGCTTCTCGAGTAGAGCTATGGGTCAATTATGGTTTTGCAAGACTATCACATATAATAACATTGAGTTTATTTGTTGTTGTTGCTTTTCCAGTTTATTCATTGATTGATTGATTTATTGTCAGGGTTTGGTCTTGTTTATTGATGACATTCCACTCCAGTCCAGTTGGTGTCAGTGTTGCTGAGTCCTCTGAAGCGGTGCAGCGGATGTACTTCACGATGGTGGAAGAAAAAAATGTTTATGGGTCTAAATGGTTTGAGGGGAACGATTTATGATTATAAACAATTATCACTTGTTTGTTTAGACTAATATAGCCATGTGTTGTTCGTGTTTTGCAGGGAAAATATTCATTTAAAAAGCAAGCACGGCTCCTACTGCAAGCGTTGAATTTGGCATCGATGTTGTGATCTTCGATTTGTAAGATATTTACAGACAGCATTTGTCCATACAAACCTGGGAGTACGGGAGGATATGAGATCAGTGGAGCTGCTTTGGTGAAAGTAATGCAAAAGCAGCAAGTCAGCGATTCTTGTGTCTGATAACACTCTTCTGAACTGATCTGATCGGTGGAGATGTCTCTGGTAGCGTACGACAGCAGCGACGACAGTGATCGCGATGAATCGCCGGGTTCGCCTGCTCGACCTGCGGCCAAGATCGGCGGACTTTTCGCAGCTCTGCCCTCGCCGAGAAACGCGGAGATCCGATCGAGCGCAGATCAGACATCAGCTCCTCAACCTAAGAGGATGACTTTGGATCTGCCCAAACCCAAAAAACGCACAGAACCCGTTAAAATCACCGTTCCTGAAATAAAACCAGCAGATGTGAGTTTTACTGATCCGTTAATGCCAATCGTTTCACTGAAGCTCTTTCTGATTGATGGTGTTTTTCTGTTCTAGTCTGACTCTGATGAGGGCGAGCCCGTCCGAAAGAAATCAGCTCCTCAGGTATGGATAAAAAAAAATATTGGAGAAGGCTTTTTTTCCCTTCATCAAAACAGCAGTAATTTAATTTGAAATGAATATTTTTTTTACCCGCTCTTCTGACCCTTAGGATTAAACAAGCTATTTTTTATATTTAACTAAAATATAAAAAAGATCTTAAATATTACATATCTATAATTAGATATAAAGATATTTATTAGACGTAAATTATTTATAATTAGCTATCTGATCCTTAGGTTTAAACAAGATATTTGACATTTAAATATCTAAACTAACTATTATTAAATATCTGTAATTAGATATAAATTATTTATAATTATCTATTAAGTATTTTTACTACTGTTCCTTTATAGAGGGCAACAGTCAGGTTTCGGAAGTAAAAATCTCATTCATTTTTTTTCTTAACACTAACTTATAAACCAATAAAAACAAACCTACTGTGAGCTACGGTGTTGGTAATTGATAGTATATGCTTTTGCTAGAATCATCAGCCCACATTATTTCAACTTTTTTTTTTTAAATAATCATGTACTACAGCAGAATTGCAGTTGAAAAACTACATTACCCATGATTCTGCAGAAATCTCCACCAATCAGGGAATCACAACAAATACTTCCACTCTGCATATTTTGCAGTAAACATAAAATATATTGTTTCTATACACATAATCAATGTTTTATCAATAAATCAATAGTTTATATGAATCATTTTTATTTTAATTATGCCATTCACAATGCTTCATAGGATTGTAGTTCTTTCTCTCATGAATAAGGATTAAGGTGGGCAGGCATATGTTAATGAGCTGTTGGTTGTGGCATCATTACCACAGCATTCTAACGATGGCCCATTTTACAATATAATTTTCAAAAAATTGAATGTAAATGGTCTGGGTGGATTTACCATCATTGACTTGTTCGGCATTGCTGGGAACGCCCACAAAAACGTCATAACCGTTTATGCCGTGGGGGAAAACAAACCATTCGAATTAACGCGCAGAGACCTTGTTAGTGCTTGATCTTTACTCTTTGTGATTTATTTCGATTGATTTTTGCTTGATGCAATGCCGAAAAGTTGCTGTGTGGCGTTCTGCACCTCTAATAAGTTAAAAAACCTGATCTGACGATGTATATGACTGATACACTGCAATGATCTGTCGTTAGTCCCGTCCCCCTGCACCGCAACCCAGTTCTGATGGGGCTTACAGTAACCCTCCTTCGCATCACAATCAAATAAATCTCACTCCCTGATATTTTGTGATGTCATAATCTATTAAAACATTTATTTCATATTATTATACACAATCCCTTACGAAAATTAACAATGGTATTAGGCCTACTATAGTAAAAGTATAGTAGGCTAACCATGTTTTTTTGGGCGTTTTTATTACCAATTGTAGCCTATAACCACAGTTTTACTACAAATACCATGGTTAGTGTAGCAAAACCATGGTTAATTTGTGGTTACCATGGTTTAACTATAGTAAACATGTTTTTTATTTCACCTTAAGAGGACACATATAGGATGAATATAGAGATGCAGTTTTGTCTGCTTTAGAACAGTTTCCATCATGTACTTGTCTAGATCAACTTTTTACTACAAATACCATGGTTAAACTATGGTTAGTGTAGTAAAACATGTTGTTTTTACCATGGTTTAACAATAGTAACCAATAACCATGTTTTTTGGTATTTTATATACATATTTTCATGTTATCTTTATTTTAAGGAATGTATTTGTGAGCCGCAGCACACACCACACAGAATAACGCTGCGGTAAAACATGTTGTTTTTACCATGGTTTAACTATAGTAACCAATAACCATGTTTTTTGGTATTTTATATACATATTTTCATCTTATCTTTATTTTAAGGCATGTATTTGTGAGCCGCAGCACACACCACACACAATAACGCTGCACATCTCAAGGCACTTCAGTGGACCTTCATGTTACCTGTTTTGTCAATGTTAAAAAACGTTTTAATATATCAATAAGAAAGTATGACAGGCTTTTACTCAAGTCTTTATCACTTTATTAAAATTAAGCAAAACAAAACGACAAATGTTTTCTTTCACAAGCCGTCTCGTATAGGCTTGTAGTAGCCTAAGCTGTCTCTTGCTCAATTAGGTAACAAAAAATGTTGGGAAACGACACCTCTGGCCATTCCGTTGGGTCGTTTGTCCTGTCACAGATACCGTATGGACAGTCCGACCCAATACGGCTCAGTTTTTATGCGTATGTTGCTCTGTCGAGCGGCAGAAATAAGTTTATGTAGGCCATTCTGAGTTAACACCATGCTTTTCCAATGAGGGGGAAAGGACTGTTTTCCCCCACGCCGACTCCGCCCACACAGCTATGACGCAACACCGAACAAGTCAATTGTAAATAAGAATATTTTCCTCCATATTCTTCCAGGGAGGTGGTGGTCTGTCCTCTCTGCTGCCCCAGCCTAAGAATCTGGTGGTGAAGGAGACCAAGCGGCCCCTGCTGCCGCACACTCTAACCAAACGCCCTGGATCAGATAAGCCAAAGGCAACCCAGGCAAAGTCCCAGGGTCTTTCTGGAACCAGCCCGTCCCCGTCCGCCATCAAAGCAGCTGCAAAGTCAGCGGCGATGCAGCTAGCCAAACAAATGGCCGCGGATGAAGAGGGAAGTGACGATGAACTCACTCCAGAGAACTACTTTTCCCTTCCGGAAAGCTCAGCACAGCCTGTGATGTCTCAAAACCCGCATTCTCAACAGTATGTTCCCTCTCTACACCCTCCACCCGGTGTGGAGGACGCTCCGCTGGACTTTGTTTCTAAAGCAGACAGTTACAGTAGGTCAGTCGGAGCCATGCAAGACTATCAGACGGAAGAATATCAACAGCAGTACCAGGAGTATCCCGCAAATCCACTGCCAGAGACTTCTCCACAGGTAAAACATGTCATTATTGATAAGCTTCATACACCAGTGTGTTCCTTGTCATTTCAGCAACTGATGTTTTATGCATATGTTTGGCAGGATTACTATGGTGAGGGATATTACCAAGACCCAAACCCTGCGGCTGATGAGCAAGAAGATTCAGGGTCCTCTTCATTGTTCAATGATGAAGCAGTGAGTTGTTTGTAGCATCTCTGGTACTCAGGGATGTGTTTGTTCTCTATTTATATGGATTTCCATATTTTCCAAGCTGAAGTATGACTGAAGTATAAGTGGGTTGTTGACATCTATACCGTACATGTGTCCTATGGTGTAACAGCAAAATTTCGAAAATAATAATCATTATTAATAATTAATTTCTTGTTAATAATATACAAATAGCATAAGAGAGATTTTTCTTCATTGTTAGTTTTTTTTTTCTACATTTTTGCTGTCACACCATAGGACACATTTACGGTATATTTGTCAACTACCCAAGTACCACTCATAGACTTAAATATTAGTATTGTAATTTTATTATTATTCTTTAAAATAAAATAATGATCATTGTTGTTGGTATTTTTTAAACATTTTTTTATATTTAAAAAAATATATAGTATTAACGTTATAGTAACATATTGTAATTTAAATAATAATGAAATAAAATATAATATTAATTATTATTATTAGATTATTTTTTATTGTACAGTACTAATAGTAATTTCTTTATTTATTCACAATAAATATATTTTTTGTAGTGATAAAATAAAAGTATTATTTAGAACAATACCAACATTTATATGTATTATTATTAAATTCTCATTTTTATTGTACAGTATAATATTATTGCTGTGGTAATATATTTCTTATATTTCTTTGTAATATATTAATTTGTTTATTTTTTTGTAATTTTAATCATTAAAAGATTAAAGTATGATGATTTATTAAATTCTTGCTTTTTATTGTACATTATAATAGTATTATTGCAATAGTAATTTATTTGTATATATTATACATTTCTTAGTAATATTAATAATTTTTTTTGTAATTTAAGTAATAAAATATTATGATTATTATTAAATTCTAATTTTTGTATCTTGCAATAGAGTATCTCTTTATTGATTTAATTCTTGTAATTTAAATAATTGTTACGTCCCCTGGTGGCATAGAGGTATGAGGAAGACGTACATAATAAAATGTAAACACAACCCTATAATTTTGGTCTCTGGGGAGTACTGGGGGAGAATGACACAAGGACAACCAACATAACAATAAGTGGTTCGCTTTATTTACAAAAGGGAATATAATTTACACAAATGAAAGCACCAACCAAAACCCTTATTTACAACTATATACAAAGAAAGGAAAAATACGGCTAATTTGGAAAGCCGCTTTATTTACAAAAGGGAATATAATTTACACAAATGAAAACACCAACCAAAACCCTTATTTACAACTATATACAAAGAAAGGAAAAATACGGCTAATTTGGAAAGACTCGGAGAATAAGAAAATGAGCAGTGCAAAACAAAAGAAAACAACAAAAGCAAAACATTCACTAACTAATTCTCCACCCTCTAAACTAACTGGAAACAAAACCAGAAAATAAAGAAATCGTCGGCGTTCAACACGCCATACCTAAAGCTTCACTAACTAACAAAACAAAACTTACATGAGGTTGCACCCGCTCCTTTCCCTATTGTGTGTAACAGAAGTTATCCTACATGTTTGCACAATGTAAGTCACGTGACATACTTCCCTTTCCTTTATCTCCGGGCTGGTGAAGTTTATGTCAGACAAGACGTTCTCTGTGTCAAACACAACAAGCAAGCAAGCGAACCACTAAAAGAAACAGCATCAAACAAACTGGCACAGCCAACAAACATTCCAAGCTTCCCTCTCCTCAGTTCACCACAGCGTCTTTTATCCTGAACCAGTTGATGATTGGATGTTTCACGAGATAATCATGATGGACACATTATCCGACCAATCACAGCACCTAGAAACGGAGAAACAGCGGAGAGCGGGAAAACAGGAAGAAACCAATAACAAGGGGAGAAATACAGCCACCAGTAACAAAAGGGGAGGGAACAACAGTCAGAGCACGTAACAATAATACTAATATTATTTTCATAAATAATAATAATTATTATTATTATTGTATAGTCATATTGAATGGGGAAATGTTATTCTTAGCTGATCACATTTTTTAACTCCATAACTCTTAAGTATTATTCTTTGGTGTGTATTTATTTCACTTCTTTGAAATAATGCTTCATATCATACATACTGTTGAGATTTTATGTATAATTTTGCCTGGTGATTGCAAAACAGGTGTAAAATTTTGTATAGCGGTGGGGTCTTTTGACTTGGGCCGGTAAGTCATGACTTAGCAACCATTAAGAATGTTCTAACAACTACCTAGTGCATCCCAGCATCATGACAGCAAGTTTTAGCATGACTTGTCCTGGTTGATCAAGATTTAGTTCAAAATGATATTTTGTTGTATTTTTCCAGTTTCGGCGACTACAGGGCAAACAGAATCGTGGAAGAGAGGAAATCAAGTTCCTGGAGATCAAAGGAGACGATCAGCTGAGCGGCAATAAGCAATGGCTGACAAAGAACATGACAACAGAGGCAGAGCCCCGCAAGTCCTTCAGCAAGGTGAGCACCTCAAGTGTCCATTTTTTTGATGGCTATTTGTTTGAAGGAGCTAAATGAAAGAAAAAGTCTTGACTTTTCCATCTCATTTTCAGAAAAAAGGAGATCAGCCAACAGGACAACAGAGACGCAAGCACCAAATCACATATCTGATTCATCAGGCCAAGGAACGCGAGCTGGAACTCAAGAACAACTGGGCCGAAAACAAGTTGACTCGACGACAAACGCAAGCCAAGTACGGATTCTAATGGACTGGATATCAAGATGTTGCGCACACCACTACCTAACGCTGAGCAGATTTTGTCAGAGACTGCAGCCGATAACAGAAATGTGATATTTTTGCCAGCTTTTAGAGATGTATACCAGTTCGTATTGTTTCAGAAAGGAGCTAAGGACTTTTAAAGCACTATTGGCTGCTAATAAAATGTTTAAGATGGCTCCCAATTGTCTACCTGATATTATCTTTCCATTTGAACTACATTGGGTTTTGTCACGAGGTTTTGGGTCACCTGTAACATAATAGTAGCTGCGTAGGTTCACATGATTTATTTGTTTATTAAATGATTGGGATGTCATGACTTGTTTGTCTGGAAGGGTTTTGTCTTCCACACTGCCATCGTGAGCAGTGGCATATATAAAATTAATGATTGAAAATGTGAAAGAAACTGGTAACACTTTACAATAAGGATCTCTATGTTAAAGCAGCACTATGTAACTTTTTCTGTGTTCAAAATTTGCGAAATGTATATAATGAGCGAGTACATCATGAATTCATCTTCCAACCCGCGTTTTTGTCTTATTCCGAATCACTACGGTACACTTATAATAAGTACTTATATTTGGACTATTGTAGCCTGGTCGGGTCGTCACCGCTGCGGAGTAACACATACCTGCGTGAATCGCCATAGACATAAACTTAGAGAAGTAGCTCCGGTTGGAACATTCTTCCGCGGGATGTGTGCAGTTCTGTTTATTAACCGCTAGAGCGCCAAAAGTTACATAGTGCTGCTTTAACATTAGTTAATGCGTCACGTATTGATTTTTTTTACAGCGTTTATTAATTTCAGTGTTAAATATTTTGTTAATTATGTACAGTATTAACTAATGTTAATGTATAGCTTCAAATTAATATTAAAAATGTTGAAATGGTAATGTATGCTATCTTATGGTAAAGTGTTACCAAAAAAACCTTGTAAAAAGTGTTTTGAGTAAATCTTTCCATCCTTTTAACTGCTTGTTTTCATATGAATGTTGATTCTTAGTCGTAGAACCATAAATAAAGTTTAACACCCTTATTGCACCTGTAGAATATATACTAATTTTCATTTTGTGTGTAAAAACACGTTTATGTGTGAAGTTCCTATATCACTGCCAGAAATAAAAATACACAAACCTGTGCAAAATAAAGTTTCTTCACAATATAATTTGACAATTACAAGATTTTTACATAGAGTTGCAGAAGATTAAAAGTACTTTAATGCTAAATGCATAAAATGTCTCAAAATGTAGGAATGAGCTCAAGAACATTAAAGGGGTGGTTGATTGCGATTTCACTTTTTTAACGTTAGTTAGTGTGTATGTTGCTGTTGGAGCATAAACAATATCTGCAAAGTTGCAGCGCTGAAAGTTCAATGCAAACGGAGATATCATCTTTTAAAATTCTGGCAGTTCAATGCCTACAAAAACGGCTGGTAGGGACTACAACAAGTTACTTCCTGGGTTCGTGACGTCACAAACCCAGATAAACCCCACCCCCGGGAACACGCAACGAAGGGGGCGAGGCCATGCTGCGCTGCTTTAGAGAAGAGGAAAAATAATCGAGGCATTTGTTAGAGAAGGGACAGATCGGTGTGGAATAAAGGTAAATTATGTGAAAAATAATGCGTTTTTTAAAAAACGAAGCATGAACACATGTTAGACTGCACCCCATAAACACAATCAAGCCTAGAAAAAACCCAGTCAACCACCCCTTTAAATTGAACAATGACTTAATGTTATTTGAATTTGGGGGTTTTACTCAACTTTTCACATCAATTACTCGAATATGAACTTAATACTGATTTTTACATAGACATATATAATAGATCGTAACATAATCACTAATGCATCATGTGCAGTAGTGTAAAAATGTAATTAATGTGAAGAGACAAATAATAAGATCATATATCACAATATGCCCAAAGACTGGAGAGAAAAAAAACCCCCACAAAAGTAATGCAGCAGTCAGAATAAACGTGATTTAGGTTACTTAAAATAGGAATAATACGGTGTTATTTAAAATAAATAACGTATATGTGTTTAATAAATGAAATATATAATAAATCAAACAATCAATCACAATAAACATTAAGCTTTTTCTCTCCAAAATGATGCATTTTGATGTTACAGGGAAAATAGTTTATAAAAATGTATAAGTTTTATACAGAATATTTATTTTATTCTTTTTATTTTTTAAATATACAAAATAAATATATGTACTTGTCACTTGATGCATCACCACTTTCATCAGCCATTTAGATTTTATGTTAATAAAAATACAATAAATAAACGCAAATAAACACAAAAACAATTCTTCAGGACACAGAAATGAGCCTGAACAACTGACCACACAAAAATAAACAAACAAAAATCATTTTATTTGTACAAATTACTTGCGTATATTCTCCAAGTTGTTTCCTGCACGACATTTTTAGCAAAGAAAACACTATTCTGAATCCGACTGTTCTTGCTTTGCCTCTTTCTTCATCAGCAACCGTTGACTGGGCTCCACAAACAGCACCACAGACATGAGCACCCTGACTGAGTCCACTCCGTTCACCTGAGAGAGGGAAAAAAACATTCAAACAGCAAGTTCTGCAAGCAATTAATTAATTATATGAGAGCTAAATTATCATAACACTATTATAAAGTCAATGTTTTACTGTGTTTCACTTACTGTGACATTACACCAGTACTGTCCGGGCCCTGTGATTGGTTCTTCTGGAAGAGTCAAGGCATGTGTTGGCACAACCACACCGAGCTGTGGACAGAAATACAACAAATTGTAAAAAAAACAAAAAAAAAACACTGCATTGGATTGTGTGAACAATGTAGGTGTGCAATACTTTTATACACACAAATATACTAATGTAAACAAGAATACTAATAATAAATTTCACCCTTTTAAGATTCTGAGTTGACAGAATTTATACTTCCCTTACCCGTCTAAGAAATTGTCTGCAAACAATCTCTTTAGTGAGCGAGTACTGAATTGAAGTGTGCATGGCAACTTCAAGCTGAGTTTTCTTCAGGAATTCAACAGTCTGCACCAAGAACACAAAGACAACATGAAGCAGCTCATGTGGAAACCAATACCAAAATATATAACGTGTAATTTTGTAGTCAAACACACAATAGGTTGGATGGATATATTACTGTTTTATAGTCCAAAACACACAAGAACTCACTAGCTGTCCTGTTCGGGTCTGGACTCTGTCCTCTGGCCGTCCCTCCCGAAGAAGCTACAGGAAAAAACAAAGCAAACCGTGAACACTTGAAATTATGTTAATGATGCTGAAGTTCACCCAAAAATTTACATTTGCTTAAAATGTACTCAGCCTCAGGCCATCCAAGATGTAGATGAGTTTCGTTTCTTCGTCAGAACAGATTTGGAGAAATGTAGATTTAGCATTGTAAACAGTGCTTGATGTGTGCAGATTTCTCCCCTGATTCAGACGAGCAGTACTATGGACAAAGGACTTGTATTTTAGCAACTGTTTGAAGTTAAAAAGTCTTAATGGTGGTTTTGCTTCTTAAAACATGCAGCTTTTCCCTTCACAAGTCATTAATTGATGGATTGGAGTTGTGTGGATTACTTGTTGATTATCGTGATGTTTTTATCAGCTGTTTGGACTCTCATTCTGACGGCACCCATTCACTGCAGAGGATCCACTGGTGAGCAAGTGATGTAATGCTAAATTTCTACAAATCTGTTAAGAAACAAACTCATCCACAGCTTGGATGGCCTGAAGCAGTGGCGAAGCTACAGGTAGGCCCAGGTGGGCATGAGCCCACCCAATTAAAAGTTGGTCATTTTTCAAATGGATGTAATTAATTAAACAACAATAATAATAAATATCTCATTTCACTATAACTTTACTCTTCCTTTCAAGCGCATACCATACACTTGTCAAAATGATTATTCGTCAGTTTCTGTTAGTCCCACCCACAGTGTTCGTAATGTTTTTACGACGTAAGGACATAATAGTAAAATGCGCACGTTTGTGGAAATAGAAAAACAAATATCAATCAGTCAGTTCTTTAAAAAGTATATACTGGATATCCCGATTGAATTTATAGATTGGAAACTTCTGAGCCAAGCTTATTTGAAGCTCATATTAGCATAGGTACAGTGTTTGATCCACTAAATAGATGCGTCCTTTGTGGAAACACATAAACATTGTACTTGACCCCGTAATGCTTTAGTTGATGCAAGTTAATGCATTAGCTAACATTAACAACGAGCAATGCATTTGTTATAATATTTATTCATCTTTGTTGATGTTACTTAATAAAAATCCGACTGTTCATTGTTGTTTGTATTAGCTCAGGTATGATTATTAACAGTTAATTTATTAGTAAACGCTGAAATTAACATTAATGTTAATAAATGTTTTAGAAGTATTGTGTATTGAACCTTTGTGCTGTATTTTCTGTTGGCAATTTGACATGCAGTTTTCATACTCTATATTTTGCCCACCCAATTTTATGTAGGCACACCCACTTAAACATTCCTGGCCCCTGGCACGAGTACATTTTCAGCACATTTTCATTTAATGGCAATTGATTTGTAGATTTAACTAACCCTTATTTCCTCTGCAAACATGCCTTTATTCTCCTGTGAAGGATAGACAGCCAGACCTTGGGGTAGCAGTTTGTTGCGGCCCAGTGATTTTTTCACAAAAACTGTGTTGCCTCGTCCACCGAGCTCTGTAAAATAAATATTACATAAAAATCCCAGTTTTTAAATCATACTTAAAGGTGCAGTAAGTGATTTCTGAGAAACGCTGTTGAAAGTGGATCGGACCGAGCACCAAAACACACTTGTAGCCAATCACCAGTAAGGGGCGTGTCCAGTAGTGATGGGGGAGGTGCCTGTGTTGAATAGCATGTTCAGAAATTTGGGGGCGGAGGCAAGATAGGGGTGTGATTCTTTTTGGTAGGGGCATGTTTGTTTTGATGATTTCAAATATCAACAGCATTTCTCAGAAATCGCTTACTGCTCCTTTAACACGTTTTCTTAAGGCAAGAGCACCCACTGGGCACCGTCTGGGTGAGGATGAGCTCCATTTTGTCCTGTGGTTTGTGTTTTGTGTCCTCAAACAAGCGGTACACTCTGTGTCGTCGAGGATGTAGTCTGGGTGGCTTTCCCTCTTTTGATAAAGGAACCTTCCAACAGCGTTCAACAATAGCTGTATTCTGGAATGAGATTAAATCAAGAAATCAATCTAAAGATGTAGATGCATTTTCATCTCAAATCCAGCCCCAAAGCCATTTCAGTGGAGCCAAATACGCATTCTGTATTAAATATGTGCATGCATGAACTACAGATCATCTGTGTTAACTCATCAAACATAAAGAGTTTATAAAAATAATCTTATTTGGAACTGGGCAAGACGTCGTCACAATAACAATAACGCTAGTCAGAAATCATGTATTCTGAACTGTAAACAGCACTATGATATCTGCCATTGCGTTGTTGATCTAGATCAGTTGTTTTCCTGCCGCTTACCTTGCATGCTGTTTGTGACAGATTCTGTATTCGACTCAAGGATGATTTCAGATTTGTAAGATTCCAGCAGCTTTGAAGGACAAACCTTGATGATGCGACCGCCCACATGATTGATATAGACTTTACGGTTGAAAATGAATGAATTTAATTATTTGGAAATATTAATCATCGCCACCAACCGTAGCATAGCGTAAATAATCTATCAAAATTCACATGTATTTCCGCACTGTCACAAACTATCATTGCACTCCATAACCACATTAAATGCAATGGATGGGATTTTAAAGGACCCCTAGAAGGGTAGCTGTTTATTTTGCCTGACAAAAAGATCAGAACGTCAATTTGTTTAACGACGAGTCGAATTTGTACACACTTTAATACACCAATATAGTACAACACGCTTGTTTTCCAAATTGTTGTATGATATTATAAGCAAATATTTATAACGGTAATCATATAACTAGATACCGAAGTAACTCGGTTTCAAAATAAAAGACCTTGCTCAATTAAAAGTCTCTTCTATGCCGGATACATGTATTTACTGTGAAACATATTTGACGTAGTTATGTTTTTCTGATATTTAATCTTCGTGGACCTGTGGAATGGGTAAGTTTAAAATTGCTTTATTGATTTGTAAAGAATATAAATCAACAAAAAAATTGGCTATGCATCAAAATCTTATATAAAACATGTAAAATGGCAGATTACTCATACAAAACAAATAGAGAATGTATAAACTGTATTCACATGCACTGTTTCAATTTCACTACCTTAAGTATTATTTGAAAAATAATTTTGGTAAACAAGAGTGTAAAAAAAACAGCAGGGAAAAGGCCCAACAAATTAGTATAAAATTATATGCAATGTATATGCAATGCAGTTTACATTTCAATACACTTCAGTGGCAAATGATGGAATCATATGACGAAATACAAACAAATACAAACAATAAAGGTCTTGTAAAAATTACATTGAGAGAACACTCAGAAATTCTTTTCAGAAACGTGATAAATACACTGAAAATCAAACTACAAATTGTACTGTTAGTAATGGCCGCCTTTTACAAAATGTTCATTGTCATTTCACAAAATACATGGTCTCAAATGAATAAATAATCATTTGTAGTGATCTTGCATATTATGAAAGTTTAAAGAAAGGAGGCTTTAGATTATCAGTGACATCTCTATTTTGACCATCTCTGTGGGTGCATAGTTTATTGAAATAAACTTTCTTATTTCTTTTGTCATGTAAAGAACTGTAATACCGTCTGTCTATATAACTATTTTTATAATACCAGCCTATAAACTACCAGGGCTTTAATTGAATTATTAAGACAGTTCTGCAGTTAAACTGTGATGTTTAAGACCACAATTGCACCACAACAATGGAAAACAAGAGATTACAATTAACCCTTAAAAGTACATTTTCAGAGCTATCTGGCCAATGACAATCATTGATGTTTCTCACCATGCACATCCTACTTTAAGCATCGTGATGAGCTAATATCAAGATTTAGCAGCTAGTCCTTTAAAATTCAGTTCAAAGAGAAAGCAGAGATACCTCGGCATGTCTCCTTATCTAAAATGATCTGAAAGGTAACTGACATGACATGATACTGAAACAAGTGACCGGGATAAAACATTAACAATCAAGTTTACAACATCACTTCACACAGTAACGCATTATAATGGATAGATTTATAGATCCGTTATAATGCAGTAATTTATGATGATGGAATAAGAATGCGATTACATTTTAAAATATTGTATATTTATGATTTCAACTAATTTTATAAGTATAGTACAGGCTATAAGGACCATTTTGAGTTGGGAAACCAACAAGTGTGTCTATAAGACGCAATATATGTTTTTTTTCTTGTTGCACTGAATCAAGCATCCTATTGCAAAGCATTGCTTATCTTGAAGTACTAGCTCTCTCAAAAATGCTAATTTGCTGAGAATTTATTCACCCTCAGGTCATCCAAGATATAGATGAACTTATTTCTTCATCAGAACAGATTTAGAGAAATGTAGCTTTATATCACTTGCTCGCTAATGCAGTGAATGGGTGCCGTCAGAATGAGAGTCCAAATAGCTGATAAAAACATCACAATAATCCACAATTAATCCAGTCCATTAGTTAACCTCGTGTGAAGTGAAAAACTGCATGTTTGTAAGAAACAAATCCATCATTAAGGTGATTTAACTTTAAAAATGTTGCTTCTGACCAAAATACAGGTCCATAATCCATAATCACACTTCCTCCAGTACAAAAAATTCCATCTCCTGTTGTCCTCTCATATCAAAATCCACTGACATATTTGTTTTGGACCGTTATTGCTTGTAAACTGTGCTTGATTTGTGCATATTTCTCTCCTGATTCAGACGAGACAACTTTTTCACTGGAGAAACCAATATTATGGACATTGTGGATTATTTGTGGATTACCGTGATGTTTCTATCAGCTGTTTGGACTCTCATTCTGACGGCACCCATTCACTGCAGAGGATCCATTGGTGAGCAAGTGATGTAATGTTCAATTTCTCCAAATCTGTTCTGATGAAGAAACAAACTCATCTACATCTTGGGTGGCCTGAGAGTGAGTACATTTTCAGCAAATGTTAATTTTTTAGTGAACTATTACTTTAACACACATCCCATCCGCACTTGTGTGCATATATGCTGCTAATAAATGTTCACAAAAGCTTTCAGAGAGGAGGTAGAAATAAAATGTTGCCTTGAATGTGCATGATTGCTCTACAATCACAAAAGTAACAGAAGGCAATATAATGAGGGCACAGATTCAGTTTTTCTATGTCAGAAGGCTGGAGGAAATGGCCTTGCTATGTTTCCTGTGCCAGGATTTCTCACCAATGACAGTGTGTGAGAAAATCTGACCTTTGTTTTATGAAAACATTTTGTGGTTGCTTCCTTATCAAACATCTATGCTAAGGCCATTGGCTCTTGTGGAAAAGTTGAGTTAACTTAAAAGTATTGTATAAATGTGTGTTTACATAAACATACTTAAGGTTTGTATATTCCCCAAAAGCACATGTGTAGCAAATAAATGAGCAAGGCTATTATGTGAATGCAAATGCAGAATATTGATACAATATTGCTGTGATCAACCTGTACTGTATAAAGCACTATATAAATAAAGGTGACTTGACCACACAACTGTATCTCCTAAGAAAAGCAAACAGGCAGTGATTTGGCGAATTCGCTAAAATGTAACGCCCACGTGTAATAGGATTCATGAGTAGTACAATGCAAACAAGGCCTCAAAATCAGATTTTCCCGACATAGTAGGTCCATGTGCCAGTACAGTCAACCGATAACACTGGAGGATAATACTGATATAGTAATAATAGCAATATTGCGCTTAATTCTGTTCAAGTTTAAAATGCCTTACATGTTCAGATCAAAAAGAAAGAAATGTATAATTCATCACCGTTTTTGTCTGTGAAATTATACTCCTCCCACACAAACACAAGTTAAAAAAGACTGTTTGGAGTTTTGGAGTGCTATCTGGTACAATCATACGCCACGTGTGACACGTCTTCATACTCTTCAGCATGTGCAGGGCAGAGTTGTAGTGTTTGACCCACCTAGCTGCCCCACTGCCATGAGCAGAATGTCCTTCTTTTCCTTATAAAAGCGCAGCTCCCGTCCTGCCAGACGGGCCTCTTCCAGCTCGCGCTCGGTGGCGGCCATCTCTCGATTGATTGTACCGGATAAAGTGTGTTCTCGACTGACCCAGTCGGCGGCCATTTGTGTACGCATGTCATCGTCTAGCGCTCGGTGGGAGTAATGAGCAAGCACTTCCTGTTTACAAAAAAGGCTGATTGTTATACACACCATAGACAGGTCAGCGAAACATATTAATGGGCCAAATAAATATTTACAAGAAACCAACGAGGGAATAACAAAAAAGAAAAATAAATAAATATATATATTAAATTATTTATTTTTTTTGTCAAAATGCAATCATATTTTAGTTTTTATTAACATTTTTGCCAGTGATATTTTTCTATCACTGAGATACTATTATAGTTATTTTAGTAATATTTTGAATTAATTTTAGTTTTATATTTTCCATTTTCATTTTAAAGTTTTAGTATTTTTGTCATTCGTTTTTGTTTTAAATATGTCTATATTGTTTTTTATTAATTTTTATTTTAGTTTTAGCTATTATAGTATATCAAGTTATACTGAATAAAATTACAAATGTCACCTTGGAAACTAGCTTTTTTATTGTATATTTTATTGATTTATTTATTTTGTATATTTTAGTAAACATTTATTTTATTTCAAGAAACTTTTTTTTTTTTTTTGCATTTTGCAGCATCTCTCTGATCCTAAATCTGTCAGGAACAGTATAAAGTTTGGTGGACTTTCCTTCATTTTACGTTGTTTTACTTTTCTAGTATTAGAAATAATAGTTTCTAATCACCGTTATTGAAAAAAAATATATCGCGATACATATTGATATTGAATTATTGTCCAGCCCTAGTTTCTATGCTACTTCTTTCTTTTTATTTCACTGTGACTGAGTCGGCCAAGTTTCTGTACTCAAAACAGTTGGTGACATGTAAATGTGGGCGATCATGTCAGAATAGTGTTAATAAATGGTATTTTTGGAGTGAGGAGGAAGTTTTGAGATTTGCTGTAAACAAGTTACAGCATGTTTTACACAGTGCAGTAAACCATTTTATTTTAAAAGATGATGGTACATATGACTACTCACGATATGACTCTTTTAAGTACTACTGAAAATTGAATATTTGTCTTCACCTGACGAGAGCATTGCCTTTCTCTCATGGCTTTGAGACTACCATTCCAATGGAGAAGCTGGAAAACCGTCATCAGTTCCTGAGAAAAAAGTAACAATTAAAATCCACATGTAAAGTTACCCACAACTTTTCATATAGTCCAATAATGATCTCACTTACCTGGAACTCTAGCATAGATTTCCCCTTGTTAGACTCTAACATGAACCGAAAAGCACCGATGCCTGTACTAGGATTATCAGCTTCTTCTCTGTTTCCCTGCAGTAAATAAAAACGAGTAAAGGTCAACAATGTCAACAATACACTTTTGTCCAAAGGTTCTGGGTTTTATTTGAAAGAAATTAGTACTTTCATTCAGCAGGGATGCATTAAACTGTTCAAAAAAGACAACAAAGACATTTATAATGTTTCAAAATGCTGTTCTTTTAAAGAATCCTGAAAAAATGTATGATAATAATAAGACATTTTTCTTGAGCGAATCAGCATATTAAAATGATGTCTGAAGGATCATGTGACACTGAAGACTGGAGTAATGAAGCTGAAAATTCAGCTTTGCCATCATAAAAATTACATTTTTAAATATATTAATATATTTAAAATATATTATTATTGTAATAACATTTCACAATATTACTGTTTTTTGCATTTTGATCAAATAAATGCAACCTTGTTGAGCATAAAAGACTTTCAAAAACTTTTGTTTTTTAAACTTCCCGACCCCAAACTTTTGAACGTGTAGGTCAAATTATTAAAATAAAATGTTCCAAGTTAATTCAACAGTTCACATAAAAATAAAAATTCTGTTATCATTTACTCATGCACATGTTTGTAAACAAGTATGTTTATCAGTCTTGATTGAATTTTTCACTAAATAGCCAGAGCAGGGTAGATGTTAAGATTTTCAATTAATAAGAATTGAAATGTCAATATATTTCTTAAAGCTTGAAAACTCCAGAGCCCTTTGATTGTAACTGCATGCAAAAGAGAAATCAGCATTTTGTGTTCCACAGAAGAATAAAAGAGTAAATGAAGCTAGAACTTTCATTTTTGGGTGAACTTATCCCTTTAACTGAAAAAATTCCCCTCAAAAACTGAGATAACTGTGAGAACTCACATTAAAAGAGGCTAGAGCCTCACACACACTCTTCTCTATGAACTCATCTGTGATGTGTCGAGATGGATGCTCATTGAAAACAGAATTCATTAGGGCAATTTTGGCCGTGCTCCGTCTTGCTTCAGCTTTGGTTGGGCAGAACTGAGAAGATCAAAGATGCTATTTAACCACAGTGTAATCGAATCCTGAAGATGCTCACAGAATTCATTTCCAAGAGATCCTCAAGAGAAAACATTAGGCAGAAAATATGCAGACACAGATGGCAACCAAAACGCAATTATTTATTTTCTGAAGAGCTGAAGTTCCAAGACAAATGCATTGGAAAATGTAAAGAGAATATTGCTTGCCTGAAAACTCCCGAAGCAACTTCCACCGGGGAGACTGACGTAGCAGACATAAGGGGGGTTATTGGATGGGACCATCTCATAGACTACAAGAGCCCCGTTCCTCAGGTCAGCACCTCGTGACTGCTTCATCTGCCAGAACTCCTGCAAGGCCTCCACGACATTCACTGTGGGAATAAGACCATCATATCAGCGTTTACAACACTATTCTAGTATATTTTAAGACTCATGAGCTCAAATGTGTTATATTCAAGTTGAAGTAACTTAAAGACCCCCTGTGGTGAAAATCAAGTTTTTAACTTTGTTTAAATATGTTTTTTTTTATATATATGCCTAAAGGTACAGTTCACCCAAAAATGAAAATCTGCCATCATTTACTCACCCCTGTATGAGTTTCTTTCTTCTCTTTGAACACAAAAGAAGATATGTTGGTAACCAAACAGCTGCTGCTAGCCATTGACTTCCATAGTATTTTTAGCCCCATACTATGGAAAGCAATGGCTAGCGGCAACTGCTTGGTTCAAAATATCTTCTTTTGTGTTCAACAGATGAAAGCAGCTCATACAGGTTTGAAACTATCGGAGTAAATGATGGCAGAATTTTTTTTTCGGTGAACTATCTCTTTAAAGACAAACCATCTGCAAATTCATCAGTCAACACCACTGCTGAGCATTTTTTTCTAAAAACTGCAGTGTACCAAACAGTCTCAAAAACACTGTTTATAACAGCCGTTTCCTACCGTCAAAAACATGTAACCAATCCTGTCAAGTTGGGGGTGGGGCTTTACATATCATTAGCTAGATAGATGTTGATTTTTAGAAGGTATGGTCAATGGGACCATGGTTGTGTGAGATTAGAAATACATGATTAGCTGTTTGATAGCATTTTCAAGTCAAGGCTAATGATATCGATTACCATGTAGAGCGCGGTACATAAAATGCATTACAATTCTGATACATCGACTTGTAGACGGCCCTGAATAATTCGTAATCAGTTTCTGGTTCAATCATACATGGCTGAATTAATCCAAAATTGCAACTTGTCATTGTGTAGCATTTAATACTTCAGTTAACTGAGTGAAAGTAGAGCAGGTAGTCTGAGCTTGTGTGATTAAGTAGAGGTGGGGCTAATTTGCATATTCATGAATCCACGTATACTAAATTAGTTAAAGGGGTCATATGATGCGATTTCAATTTTTCCTTTCTCTTTGGAGTGTTACAAGCTCTTGGTGCATAAAGAAGATCTGTAAAGTTGCAAAGACTAAAGTCTCAAATCCAAAGAGATATTCTTTCTAAAAGTTTAGAGTCAACCACGCCTACCTAAAACGGCACGCCCCCACATATCTACATCACTATGTGGGAAGATTTGCATAACGCCGTCCAGACTCAGTCTGACAATAAAGCGTCTCGTGGCCGCTCCTTCGTCGAATCCGCCGGCTGCGCCGTTCTCAAGCCCGCCCGCCGCTGCTCACTCAAGCCGGCCTCCGTATACTCTAGGCCTCCGGCCTCTGCTCACTCAAGGCTGCGGTGTGTGATGCTGTTTCATGGGCATAGAGGAGAAACAATAATGTACAGTATGTGGAAAATAATGTTTTTTGAATCTTAAACCGCATAAACACATTTCATTACACCAAATACACAAAATAATGTTCTTTTTAGCAGCATCATATGACCCCTTTAAGAGTGTTGAGTTATATTCAAGCTATTATTTTCATGGAAAATATCTCATTCTCTTTGATATCAAAAATGAGTTTTAAAGGATCAAATTTGTGACAGTAGAGAGAACTTTATTATTACTGAATAAACCCAAATATATTAAGCAATACTTTTACAAAAGTTCATAAATTCATCTTAATACACAATGAAAAGCACATGCTCATTAAATGGCCGATATAAAGGAAGCTTGTTGTTGTGGAATTGCTTAGATACTAGTTTCTAACAGGAAATAAGGGTGGTGTATTTGGATGGGAGTAATGTGAAAATCATCACAGCCGCACATGACACTCAAGCTCAAATATATAAAGGTCGTTCTTCTGCAAATGAAAGCTAAGCTTCTTGGAGGTTGTACTCAGATTGTCTGAGGTGTCTCGGAGGTAGATTAAAACACTTAACCTCCCTCTAAAGAACATTGGCAACAGTCTATCCAACGATAATCCCTTTAATGTAATTAGGTCAGCATGTCAGGGGGCTCAATCTGAACGCTCAAATCGAATGTTTAAACACAGGGTGCTGCAAAATACTGTCTAGTTAGGGAGCTGAATGAGTGCATCTCATGAAGAACATGTCTGGGTAATATTTCATATAATTCTTTAATATATCTGGGTAATCTATAGACAAGAAAATATTTTGCAAGAAAATTAAGCCTTTTTTTGCTTTGTGATTGTTATTTTCATAATTCTGCACACTGCCTTTCCTGTGTCTATATTGTTCTTCATGACTCTCAATTTAATTTAAATAAATTATATTATTTATAATAAATGCAAACACCATAATGGTTCTAAATATAGACTTGATTCTATGCAATATATATATATATATATATATATATATATATCTCTTAGAGTGAAATGAGATTCAAAACCCCTACTGCTGACACACCGCTAAGTTATGTTTTGGGAGAGATATAATAAATGAAATTCTCTAATTTTAAGCAGAAATTCTTGTGAATTTCAATACACATTTCTGAATGCATTTGCTTCAAATATCTTGCATGTGGGTCAGTTAAGTGGCACATTTTTTGTCCAGAGCTAGCCTATTAAATAATTAAAAAATACATTAAAATATAATTCATACAGAGAAAAAGTTATGTTAAAAGTCATATTTTGGAGGGCTTAAAGTGTCTGGGTGGTGTAAAAAAAAAATAGATACATAGATAGATTCTAAAATAGTACAATAATAAATATTATATTTATACTTTTTATGAAAGGTTAAGTTTAATTCAGGTCAAATTGAGTAACCCCAAGAAAACTTAATGATATTCATCATTCAAAAAATAATTTGTGAAAATAAAGATTTGTACTCTCACGTGTGTTTAATGTGCATGTGAAATATTATATTACATTTAATATGATGGGTAGACTACTTTTTAAATACACACATTCTGAGAGTCATATATAAATAATGTGTAAACTTTAATATATAAAATAATAATATATAAACATTAGTATAAGAACCAATTTGAATACAAATGTTTACATTTATAAGCATTTAACATTTATATTTTTAACTATGTTTTCAAAATATTTCTCATTGTTTATCATTGACCCTTATGCTCTCATGTGCAAAACATATCCACGTTCACCCCACATACCCCTGCCGTATCCTTGCGTGTGTTTGGCAAAGCTCCGGACCACCGCGTCCACTGCCTCTCTCAGAACCGCGGGGTTGGTGGGATTGGACAGACCCAGACCCGCCGACATGTCCAACGAACCGAACCCGCTGCCCATGATACCGGACCCGAGGCTGTGGAGCTGAAGGGGCGGCGGTGGTGGCGGCGGCCCCGGGGAGGCAGACACCGAGACGTGGGAACCCTGTGCCGAGGAAAGAGTGCCGGTTACACCGGGCCGCAGGGACCGGAGAGTCCCGGTCGCGCTCGCTCCGTATCCGATACCGGGCTGTAAGCGCTGATGGCGAAGAGACTCCATTGTCTCGAAAAGTGATGCAAAAGAAACCAACACAAAGGGAACGACTGCTAGAAGCGATTGCAAAGCCTTTAAAGATGCATATGACAAACATAAAAGTGTTTCTCGAAGGTATTAGCTTTGTTAAGCTGATTGGGCAAAATATTATTTACTGTTTGGGGCGTAAAACTGCCATAGGGAGCAAAAAGGAGCAGCATATGTTTGTGTTTGACCAATGGATGGATTCACGCTGTATGACGTGGCACGTCCGCACAACTCTTCTTAAATACACAAGTCTCTGTAACCAAGTTAATATAAACGTCGCCGTTTTCAAATATTTGCTAAACATGTATATTTGTGTAAATAAAGTCCTCTTTACAAAGCTCACGCGAGCAAAGATACTAAAATAGATATAGAGCCACTGAGAACAACTACTACTAAACATGGTTGACAATTAGTTTAAGATAGGCTACTGCTTATGCTGGTATTTTCCTTAAAGGGGTCATATGATGCG